CTAAGTATTGGCTTAAACTAAATTAATCACGGTACACTAATTACACCTCAAGTGAGAAATCCAATTTAATATGCATTTCTAATTCTAGATACTTGTATTAATAATTTTCCGGATGACGACGGCATGGATATTGAGACGCTTAGGCATCGTTCAACTGTTATTGAGGCAAGAGTAGTTGAGTCCATAGAATCATATGTACTTGCGCTGAGAGAGAGCTGCAAATGTAATATTTCCAATTATGCAATTATATATGAGAAATATATATTTATATAAAAACTTACTCCACTTGCAGCCCACCAAGACGGGACATGAGAAATAGTTCAGGCGGCGCTGCGAGTCTAAAACATGTGAAATCAGCGCAAAGCCCTTTTCCGGTTTTATATAAAGTTGATGATCAGGAATTATAGTGGCACCACCTTGCGGTACATCGTTCAGCTATAGAGGAGAATTAAGCCTAGTTTTTATTTCATTTGTAATGAGGTATTTAAAGTACTTACGAAAAGCGTTATGGAGGCTGTTAGACTGCCCGATTGAGGCTAAAAGTTTTGGATTTGATTGGAAACGATATATATTTTATATGCCTTATAATATACCTGTTGCTTTTCAGGCTTTAGAGCCAATCCATCGTACTGCAGTTCGAAATCTTTGCCAAAGTCCATATTCGTTCCCGTCATTGCCCTAAGGCGATTATGGAGTGCACGATTCAGCTCTAAGTGTATTGTTTTGCTAGCATATTGCTCGAATCGATCATATTTTATGCCGTCATGCCTTATGTAGAGTAGATCTTCAATTTCTTTATCATATACGACATCATGATAAAGGGCCACATAGGGCTTCATGCTAAGTAACTCCACCTTGAAGCGCGCCAGCATAAGCAAGGGTTCAGTTGAATTACGATAGTAGCAGAACAATTTTCTCACAGCCGGATACTGACCTCGACAGCCGCGCTGTGCTGTCGTCAAATTGTCGAGCTTTTGCTGCCACAATAAAGTCAAGTAAGATACAATAAATAATGTCAGAATTATTGTCTTGACTCACTGAACTGTTTGCTTTCAGATGCTGACCAAAATTCTGCAGAGCTCGTCGCTGCAGCCAGAGTGAAATGTGTGAATCGGCGGCGTTGTTAAGCACGTCCAAAGCCTCCTTGATATAGCCTATAAGATATTTATTTTAAAAGAATTCTATATACACCGCTTTTCCACCCACCGCTGTTAGCCAACATCGTCGCATACATTCCATATAAATCGCTGACACTCAGTTGATATACTTCACCATACAGCTCGGCATGTTGAGCATAGTTAAACTGCTCCAGGGCTGCCCTCTGCCAGGCCAAGGCGAAATGTTGAAGAGATTTCCGCTGACAGAACTCGGCCAGTGCAAAGCAATCGAGAGTGCCAAGTTGAGCACTAGAAAGTGGGTCCATCATAGATTATATTCAGCCCAAGAGCCGCTCACTCACCTATACTTGTTGCCATCGATCATTCCTTCAGCCAGCTGCTTCGCATCCAAATCATAGTGGCTCTGTAGGTATAGAAGTGCTTCCATTGCCTTCTCCAACTCCTCGACCTTGGGCGACTCCATTTCAATCAGCTTATTTACGTTTGCCGTTTGAGCAGGGCCCACTGATTCGCTCATGTAAGCCTCAAAGAAACTCCAATCCTCATGCAGACGTCGTATAAGCGCATAACTGTTTAGCGGATTTGCTACATACGCCTCGGGGTCTGGGCTCCATTGCTGTCTCTTGGCACTCACTTCAGCCAGAAAGCTGTCAGCGCAGAAATCAGGAAATCAGTTATTATCCCATCATTTTTATCGCCACACTTCATTTACCCCTCGATGGTATTAATTTTGCTTTCCAATTCCTTCGTATACTGGCTGAGCTCCTGTATGAACCGACTTTGGGCAGATTTAAGTGTTTCCTTTGCATAATAAGCAGGAATCCATAGAAATGTTAGGTATATCGAACAATGTAGACTTGGCCTCATATTACAAGTTTATAGGAGATATTTCGTTGTGCCACTTATGGAATTATGGAATGCTCTTATGCCGTTAGTCAAGCTTTTTATATGCTGAAACCATTGATAATGGTAAATCAGGGTATAATGCTTTTGTAAATATGTATGTAAAGTCAAATGGAGGCGTGACAAATCCCACAAATTGTATATATTCTTGATAAGGACTGAGTCGATATAGCGTCAAGAGGTATGCTCATTTCGATTCTTTTTAGGCTAATGCTTTTCTAATTCTATAGACTTTTTGCAATGGAAATCTTCGTGCAGCTGTTGTCGAGTCAAAGAATAAATCTATTTGTTTCCTTCACAGCTTACCGACTGAAGTGTACTTCTAAAATGTTTACGATTTATAGCAAAAAATTGTAATGTAAGCCCCTGCTCTAGTACTAGGGCTGAAAACCTTTCATATGAGTGACCCTGAACGTGCATTATGCACTGCGAATACATTCGAATGCAAAGCTTTCCTTGTATTTTGTCTTTATACTTGTTCAAGTAGTTCACAAAAAGAGTATATTGATTTTCAGCTATTTAAGGCATTTATGTGGAGGGTATACTAACATATTTGTGTGGATCGTAGTTGAAACAGCTGTAAATGAATTTTCAAACAAAATTTAACTATAAACTTTTACAAAGAGCGAGTATTATGAATTCGTGCATGCCCGTCTCAAATATTCGTACATGTTTCTCGATTGCGCTCTCACATGCAGCTGCTGAGGTATACCCAAGCGCAATGCTATTTGTCAGATACTTTGCCACCTTGATATATAGAGAAATGGAAAATATGCGCTTTATCATTTGCACAGCTGGGACAGTCGCATTGCTCTCGCCTCATCCGAGCAATCATTCATGTTTATGAACCTATTTAGATAGCACTTAAACAATTTATTTAGGCTATTGTTTGTCGACCAACAGCTTAATGTCTGAGCCCTGGGCACTGTATTGATTTATTTTGGCGCGACATTAAACCATTTAAATTGCAAATTTCCAATTCCAATGTCTCTCTGTGTGTGTGTGGTTGTGTGTGTGTGTGGCCAATGGATATTTATGCGCCCGGTTGTGCTTGCACAGCTGGTTAGACGATTGTCTTTTGCTTGATTTGATACAAATAAATTCCTCTTGATTAAACATGTGTCATTAGGTAGTTGTGTCTGGGACCATTTCATGCAGGATTAACAGACAGTGACCTTTGTCCTGCCACATATCAGAACTAGCACAGGGATATAATCGATATTTTGCAATGGGTATGAAATAAAATATATTATAATATTTATCATAAATAGCGGATAGTTGCGGGTATTTGGATATGTGGAAATATATTGTAGGTAGATTATATTTTGCATATTTTGTTTCTTTACCATACGCCATTGGCTTTGTATTTCTGTTGGGACTTTGTTTCACAAAATAAAGCACAATTTATTACTTTCAGAACTAGAGAGATTTCCACATGTACAATGAGTAACATTAATATTAGGCTAACTTCAAACGCCTATAAAATAAAATATTAATTGAAATTGAAAAAGTGTAAATGTTAAATTCTTGATTAAAAAATAACCTTTTCGATGAGGTATATATATATCAATGTAGTATATTTAACATAACCAACATAGATTATACATAAACCGAAAAAAGAGTTGACAAAGAAAAACAACCGAATATTTATGTTACCTACTGTATATTGTTCTAAAGTATTGGATAGGTTGTAAACAATATATATAGAATTAGTTGTACGGAAATCTGGCTTACTATTTAAAAGCTTACCTGCCTATTTTATATACAGTTGAATTTGGTTATATGAGCAAACTTACATGGTTATACGGTCCCTTAAGGCGTCCCTATAACCGGTTTCTACGGTATTCCCTACTCACCCACGTTCGCTTCGAGAGCTGTTTAGCTTATGTTTTTGAAATTTGCCTATGCATAGCTTTCGTATATCTAATCCTATAAAACTAACAGATTTGTTTACATACTCTTCAGCTTGGTAATTGAAAAACGCTCAACAACAACTGCTCATGCACTCCATTGCTGTTCCGTTGCTCTGTAGCTCCCAGCGCATTACGTATACGACCCCGTATAGCATATTTTCGTAGCACGTTAGACGTTTGTGTGCCATGGTGCATTATAAGCCAATTAAATGTTGTTGCTGATTGGACTCGGTCTCGGTGACACAGTTTTTGTTATTTCTATCGTTGTCATGGCAATCGGGTTGTGCAAGGAATTGAGTTCTACACGTTAAGCAATGCTTTGACATGTCAACATATCTATCTCTTTAATATATATATATACATATATATATCAAATCCAAAGCGAACAAGTTGCAAGTGAATGTTGCAGATTTGTTGTGGTTCCATTTGCCTGGCCATCGTCTCTGTGTGTGTGTGAGTCTCCCAATATACCCCATATATGATTATCTTTCTATTAAACCAAGCACTGACATTGCTTGCTCTCTTTTGTATGTATGTGTGTGTTTATGTATGTGTGCTTGCAACAATTGATTTTGATTTCGAGTTGGCTTTAAATAGCATTGAGTTACGGCAATGGCAAATGGCAAATGGAAATGGAATAGAAATAGAAATACTTGTCTCTCACTTTTCTTGTTGCTTTTGCTTTTGTATTAGGTGCGGCGCTTCATTTACTTTATGTCTTTTGTCTGCTCTTTATGCATGTACATATACACATATATATATATATATATATATATATGTGTATATGTATGTGCACATATATCTGTTGCCAGAATTTGAATGAGTTTCGGTCTTTGACGTTGGGGCGTTGCATTTTTATGATCTCCCACATTTGGGAAGCTCTGTCGTGCCATCACGAATTGTTTGCGAATGTTCTTTTATTTATTGTATGGCTACTTGATGAGCTTCTGCTGAAAATGTTTTATGGCCCATGTGCCAAGTTCTCTGTCGTCATACGCACGCCGACATTCATCAATCATCGATGGCAGTCGCAGCATTTCAAATGAAATGCGCATTTAATACATTTTATGGTGCTTTCCCACTCTTCGTCTCTCTCTCTCTCTCTCTGTATGAATTTATTTTTTTTGGCACACAAGATTTTACGAACTGCTTAGAAATTGTCCAGCATGAAATCTACTTTAACTGCTGCGCCAGCTGCGGCCATCAACCTGTTGAACCTTCATTTATCACCAGACGCCCGGCGCGTGCTCAAAACGGCGGAACTAATGTGTCCAGCGTCACATTTGAATTATGTGTTATTACGCTGAATTTTTCCCGCTCCGCCCGCTAGCATCCTTATGGGAGGGGCGGACTGGTCGGTTGGGCGGTGGCATCGGGATGCTGGGTAGAAGTGACGGGGCGTGAATTCCACACGATTTACTAACACAGCTTTTGGCCAGCAACATTGACATAGGACGGCATGTCATTCAGCCTTGCAATTTATAACCTTCTAAAAAAATAACCCTCAAAAATCAATAGAAAAATTCAGACTATGACATACCCCTTAGTAGAGAGTGATAATATATGAAAATAATTTTATATATAATATAAAAATTGATAAATGATATAAATAGTAATAATAATACAAAAATAAATTATACAATTATAATAAATACAAATTTCTGTATTTAATTAAATTAATTTTTTCAATCGAACTAAATTTTATAAATTTATTTAAATCCCATGACTAAACAATTGGGTATTTTGAATAGTTAAGCAATTGTAGAAGCGGAGAGTATATTTATAATTTATAATAATATTCTATAAAAATTACTATACTTTTTAAATGCTATAGTTAATAATTTATTGATGTTTATTTTCTTTTAGTTTAAAAACTTAAATATTTATTAAATTTAAGAAATGTTTTTTTTTTATTTATTTAATTTTTTTTTAAATTATAAATTTCCCTTACCCGAATATTTTTAATGTCATGCACACCTTTTGTTTATATAAAAACTAATCGATTAACCCAGGGTTATTCGAGGGTATCTGTATACAAAATAAAAATCGATTTATCAATTGTTTGAACAGGTCTAACTTTGTGTGAAATGTTTATTTTTTTGGTTATTCTTTATTGTTTATTTTATTTCTCTTGCTCATTTTGGGCTTAAATTGATGGTCGCTCATATTTTGCACTTGTTGTCCTTGTCGTCCTTTCGATTTTCTATTAAAACAATGGCCAGACCGGCTAGCAAGGACTATTTTAGTATCGAGCCGGCGTTATTGGCTCACATTACGTTTAGTGCACTTCAAATTATACCCTGTAAAAGCAAGAGCAATAATTGATGTGAAACTTATGAAATATCACAGAAAATGTTCAACAATTATATTAAATTATGGTGCGAAGCTTTTTCTTTCCAAATTATTCAATTTATGTACACCTGGGCAAGAAATTTTACTTTGGTCTCCAATTTTCTATTCTGTTTTGTTAGGTTGCGCTATTGAGCCTCTTTGATTGAGTTCCATCAGGTTTGTTATGCAAGCGTTGTGCTCTAATAATCCAATTTCTAGTGCTGATTGACATTTGAGTTTGATGTTGGCTGCGATTGTGAAGCTCTCGTCGTTCAGCGCTATCAATTCACGTAGTAAATTCCTGTTGACCTTGATCTGGCACCCATGCAGCCAATCGAAGAGCTGCAAAGCTCTATTAGTTCGTCCGCCTTCGCTTATCTTCTTCTTCTAATATATTGAGTTGTTATGCTTGCACAATGAAGAACATGACGCTTGCTTCAGCGCAATTGGCAGAGTGAGCTCTACAAAAAGAGAGATGAGAGAGAGAAAATGAGATGAACAAATCATTTTATATACTCAGATCGCATTGGAAATGGGAAATTGTTGATATGAAATTTTAATGTTGATTAAAGACCTTATTAAAAATTACTTATAAAATGATATCTCTTACATCCTTGCAGGTAGAGTCTAAAATGTTGATACATAAATGTGTATTTTATAGAATTTCTATTTTTATTGTGAGTGGCGTCAATTCTAGCCTCTATTTCCTCTAGTTGTTCT